TTCCTCGGAAGCGGGAGGATGGAAGTGCGCAGCTCGTCACAGATGTGGTCTGGATGTCACCTACTGCTGCTGGATGAACCGAACAGCACTGTACTAGCTCCTTCTATTCTCACTGTAGCTATAAATTACTTCCTAACACAGCTTGAGATAGAGAAGTAAATCACTGCCCTACAGCTGGGGAAGAACAAGACAGGGAGAACACCACAGCCTGATTTTCAGAGATGCTGCTACAATTCAGCCATCATGAAGGTCAGTGGGAAACACAGGGCTTGTGCGCAAGGACATGCCAATGGCAGCAAAGACCCAAGTTTGGAATTGCTCAACACTTACAGAAAATAGGTCCTGTGTGACTCTTCCAGCCACAGGTTAATTACAAAGCAGAAGAGGTAAACTCAAGCCTTGCCAACGGGTTCTGGACCAGAAACCCAAGACTGAAACACACTTCACACTCTGCAATGCCACAGCAGAGGAGCTCACTGCTGGAGCCGGAGACACTCAATCCCCACGCTGACTCCAGTGGAGCAGAAACACCAAGCCACATAGCATGTGTTATGCAAAAAACTTAAGTCTCTGTGTATTATTTAAAATGTTCTAGTCAGAGGTTGTTCTTAACACCACTGTTATCTCCGCAACCATTCTGCTACAACACCACTTCTCATCTTTGTTTCCTAAAAGCCCTTCCAATTGCATCAATCCCTTTTGCTGTGTTGCTATCTCACATCCTGCTATATCACTGCTATCACATTAAGAATACACTTATCTCATACCACCTGGGGATATTGTATTAAAAAAAAAAAAAAGTCCCTTTAGAAATCATCCTCCTTCTGCACAAACAAAATACTATTTCAGAAGTGAATGGAAATGCTGTCCCAGTGATGTAATCATTATGCAATTACTGAGCATGATGTAACAGAAGGCCACGCAGAGAACAGCATCTTCTTCCAGACCACAGGAGAAACTCAAGCAAGTGTTCGGGGTCCTCGGCACCATTTCTGCTCATGCTTTAGGAGGACAATAATTAGGCAAAGCCTTCTTACCCCTTGTCTCCTGGCACAGCCTCTGGGGCAGTTCCACCCTCCACACCCAAGCAAGGGAGGGCAGGTCAGACCACCCAGCCCCTCCGCTCCCAGATCAAAGGAGCGGTGGAAGAAGTCGATGTGCTTTGCTTTTCTAAGCACAGGTGACTGACTGATAAACTGCGCTAACAGCACCGCGCTGCCGCTCCAGAAAGAGTGATGGCATTCAGACAGACTGCCAGGGAAAAGGCGCCGTTTCCCAATTCCTCCCATGCACGGCAGACAAGCGTAGGTCAAAAATAAGTGTAGCTTATATACCGTGCCAAACCATCGCTGGGAAGCTCGTGATTGCCCCTCGATTTGTTCGGGAGGTTTACTCAGTCGCGGTGTACAGCCTGGGGCTGGCACCACGGCAGGCTGCTGAGCCAGGGTCCGCGCTGGGCTCTGGCAGGAGCGGCCCGTCCGCTGCCCAAGGGAGGAAAGCAAATGTGTTAATCACCCACAACTTTACCCTGCACGGCGTTTCTGGGAATATTATCATTTCACCACATCCAGGAAAACGCCAGACATTGTTTTCCTTTTACTGAAAGCTTATTTCCAAACAGAATATATAAAATATTTTGTTCTACCAAACAGGTGACAAAAGCTTCAATCAAATTATTAAGGAAAAGATTTAAGTTGTACGTCCAGTTAACTCTGATGAGACAAGAGTCAGACCAAGAGAGTCAGCGTCTTCACAGGGAGGCAAATGAGTACTGCTCAGGCTGACTCTGACAGAAATGCTGAAACCCAGACTGAAACAAAACAGCACGATGGAAATACATGACCATTTTTAGGGGTTATGAGGCCAGTGCCCCAAAGCCCAACAGGAGTGCCCCGTGCTGCAGCTACGGCTGCGGGCGCAGGCTGAGGGGGGTTTGCAAACCCACCCGGGAAGGGAGCTCGCTGCGGGGCTGCCTCCAGAGGCGTTTACAGCAGACGGCTTGTCAAACGGAGGGAGACAGATGCGGCAAATGAAAATTTATGAAAATGCAAAGCGGTGGTGGCGGGGAGAGAGCGAGCGGCTGGGAGGAAGTCCCGCAGAAGCACGTCCCAGCCCTGCCGTGCCCATCGCACACGTGTACCTCCAAAGCAGGGAGCCCTTCCTCCCCTCCAGCCGCCCCGGGTCCTCTCCTCCCCAGCGCCCATCCGGGCTGCTGCAAAGCTGTACAAGCAATTCTCTCTCCGGATGTCTCTGGTGTTAGCGCTGGTGCCTTTGGCTCCCTAATTGGTGTCAGACTTCCCATGTCGGAGATGCCGTCGGTGCAGAGCGGCTCAGCACAGTCCAAAGGGTTATGGCATGGGAGAGTTTCCAAGCCACGAAGGGCAGTGCCCAGGGCTTGACTTGCATCTCCAGCCTTGCAGAAATCGGGCACCCAGCTGCTGTTGCGGCTTTGAAATCTGCCCTGTGTGAACACCAAGTGCTCCTGGAGTAGGAAATAATTTGCTCCTGAAGTTTAGGAGGGAAAGGGAAAAATCTCCTGTTTCAGGGCCAATGCTTAATCATGAGAGATCAGGCAGAAGGTTTCATGGGGGGAAAAAGGGAGGTTACTGACCCACTGCTCGTTGCATATCATTTTCTGCTCTCCCCTGCAGCTCTGCTGCAGAAAACACGCTAGCCAAGTGGCGTCCACCTTCAACTTTTGCCAGGAACTCCCCATACAAGCTAAGGAAACAAAAACATTTGAAGGTTGATAGGTTTTACTTACACCCTTCAACAGACTGGGTGCAAGCAATGGCTGAGACCCTGCGGGAAGGAGTGGTGGTCAACAGCAATTTTGGTGCTTCATGGCACGACGGAAGCACAGAACAGCTGCTGCGGCTCTCCTAAGGGCTGCCGGTGGCCGGAGAGCTCCAGAGATCCCTCTGGTATAGCCCAGATGATGTGACCACAGGTAGCACCGAAATAAGGGTCCCCACAGCAAAGCCTGGGGTTTCCCCTGCAGCACCCAACGGGAGAAGGAGCAGCACTGACCTGCTCCCACCTCTGCCCGCCATGGGACAGGCTCCCGCCCCACTGTGCCGGCACCAGGACACCGTAACCACTCACACTGCACCCCAGGAAAATGCCAAACGGCCAAATGACTGCTGGCCCCGCAGCTTTTGGGGCTGTGCCTTGTACAAAGGGCTTTCCCTTCTGCATAGCTAATCCTCACTATCCAGGTATTAAAAAGAGAAACTCCCATGCTAATATTTGCTTTCAACAGAAATTATGTCTTTCTCTAAAAGCTTAAATTACGGGTTTGCTGCCTCTGAGTATTAGGAAAGACCCAGAATTAAACTCTTCACTCTCAGAGTAAAACCAGGACCTACTGCAGGAAACGGGTTGCTCGATGCAACAGGGCAATTCGCAAGGAGCAGCCACTGGGTTCATGGTGTCAGCCAGAAAGGCTCTCATAAGCAGAGATCATCCACAAAGCAGAGCAGCCATCATTAAATACTGTTTTCTGCATCACCAGGAACCACAAAGAAAGAGAGTAGGATCACACACACGCTCACACAAAACCACCCTAGTTCCTTAGCCGAGCACGGGTCAAGGGAGGATGAGAGACACTGGGCTTGAGTTGGTTTAAGTTTTTGTTTTGTTTTTTTGTTTTTTTTGTTTTGTTTTTTAAAAAAAAAAAAAAAGCAGCACTGCAGAACTGACTCAGCTCTCAACACATCCCTGAAAACATTATGGTTTTGATTTTAAAGAAGTCCTGCAACAAAGAGAGGATGGAGGCACAAAATCTGGTTTGTAAACATAATTTATGAGGACCGATGCAGTCCCTGCTGTTGCCTTTTTGCTATGAAGACTCCTTACTCAGGGACATTTATTATCCTCTCCCCACTCTGCCATTAAGGTCTGAGATGAAGAAGAACAAATGCAAGATAATTAAGCTCTTTACAGGAGAAAAAACAGATCAAACATAATTTTCTATGTCTTGAAAAGAATTGGAAATGTCTAGACAGAAGACAGACAGAATTGGTCTCGAATGTATTAATTTCAATAAGAAGCTGAACCTCTGAATTGCAGGAAAGAGATTGAGGTCTGCTCCTGCTCCGAAAACTTTCCACAGCATTACCTTACCCTCCCCGTGACTCTGACATCCTTTATCCCGCCTGCGATATTTATATCTGATAGCACGGGACCGTAATCTGGGTCACCGACAGCCTGGACAGCCACCGGCAGCCCTCAGCAAGAGCTGCTGGAAATGCAAGCAGCACTGCAGAGTCCCAGCTCCACACCTCTGGGGAACTGCCTCTTACTGGGGGAGAAAAAGAGAGGAATGGGAAAGGTTTTTATCTGTCTGGGATCTCATAGTGCATGTTGGAGCTGCCCCGAGGTCACTGGGGTTTGGGATGCTCTCTCCTTCCACCATGGGCACGCAGGGGTGACAGAGGCTCCCTCTACTTAAGGAGAACCCGTACAACCTCAATAAGTAAGTTTGCATAAGACATCCACCCCGGGGGCATCTGAGCTTCAAGTACTAATAAGGTTATTGGAGGCTGCAAGAATGTACTTCTGTCATTTAGATTGGTGATGTGACAGCGCAAAGGCAAGCAAGGAACAGCAAAACGGCTCACTTAGGCACCATCAAAGACCTGCTCATCCAGACGCTGAGTTGGAGGAATAAAATTTTCCCATCTCAGCAGTCCTATGGGATTTCCGGAGAGAAAACTTTATATAAAGACTTTCTGAAACACCTGGGGAAAACCCTAAGCAATCAACCAAGAGGAAACAAACATGAGCAAGAGAAGGAGGTCCACCTGGACAACCAGAACATAACCGGTAGTGCAGAAGTCCCACCATGAACCAAAACCCCCTTCCCTAATGGAAGTTCTCTCAAAAACAGTCTGGTCAGAGCCAAAGTTTCCCGTTCACAACAGCAGTATTTCCCATTGGCAAGCCTTTGCCTGAGAAACCCACTTCCATTCCCACCCAGCATGGGAGAAAGACCTTACCTGACATGCATTGTACAGAAGCTGATGCTCAAATTTCTTGATCCCCAAAATGTTCTGGAACATCTCGTAGAGCTGCTCCTTGCTGAGGATGAGCTCCGAGGCAGCGCTCGCGGTCATCCTGGCCTGCTGCTTGCGGGGATCTTCTTCCCCACGGTAAATAGCATCAAACTTCGCCATCCAAGAGCTCAGGACCGTCTCCTTGCTGAGGCCATCAATTTCTGGCAGGCTGCGCACTCTCTTCTCAATGTGCTTCTTGAAGACCTCCCGGGAGTCATTCGCTGAGCACCCTCCGCTCTGCACCATCCTAGCAACGCGGTCGCTTTTCAGAAATACCTGCAAAGAAGAGGTGACTTCAAATGGTGTCAGTTAAAAAAAAAAAATAAAATCCCCCTTAAGTCCCACAAAGTGTGGTTCCGCTGCTGGGAAGCCCTCTAACTGGCTGCCAGTATGCTTTCCAACTCCTCACTCAACAACCACACGTTGCCAGATGGACATAGGTTTCAGCTGCACTTTGGGACACGTAATGAAATCAGGTGAAGCTTCTGCTTTGCGTCTGCTAAAATGGAACATTTTGATGCAATTAGGACTTGGTGTGATGCTGTGGTCGCACCTCACCAGATACATAAATGCCCTTTGGGAAAGCAGGATTACATTTTGCTCTATCAAATGTTTTAATAAGGAAGTTATTGCGCAGCTATATTCACCTAGCCAAATTCTGCCTTGTTAGAGGGAGCCCGGTCGTCATATTCAAGTCCGCAGCGTTGCATTGCATTGATGCTGGTGGCCAGGCCCCTGGGAAACCTCTGACCAACGCAAGGACCAGGCTGACATTAAGCTAATACACCAGAGGAGATCTTTGCAGACTGCCTTGCTGTCACAAGATGACAGGAATAGCATTGTATTCATTACTTCAATATTACCTTCAGCTAAATAATACATGTGTCTCCACTTCTCCCATACCCTGATCTTTCCAACCCGGGCAAGCAGCACCGCAAGAGCACCGTTACAACTGCCTGGGAAAGGACAAGGACAAACGGCCTGACCTTTGCAAACCAATGGGTAAACACCAAGACAACTCAGATCATGAAGATGCTCTTCCCACTGCAAGAGCAGTGGAAGGGTCAAAACACAACAGACCCCTGCAGACCAGGAGATGCCATGGGAGCAACGCAGAGCTGAAGGGTGAAGAGAGGGACAGGGAGATATTGTGTTGGCTGTCCTCTCCCAAGCCCTGAACGCAGGACAGCAATCGCTGCCCAGCGAGAACTGCTGCTTTATAAATGATGCTGAGAATGGATGAATGCAGGAGGCTGAGAAGAAGTCCTGCCAGCACCGGGGTGTATCTGTCAGCTCCGAATAATTAAAGAGCTCGAAGATGACCTAAGGACATGGCAGATTCTTTTATACCACTCAGCAACATGGCACTCTGTCTTCCCAGATGCTTGATGGCACAGGCAGCTGTCGGGAGTAGCAGTGGGTTTTGCTCTGGGACCAGCCCAGAAATGCTGCTGAGGAAGATCTGGGCTGTTTCCTTCCAACATCACCGTGCTGGGGAGCGCTCCCTGCAGACAGGACAGGCAGGATGCTGCCAGCAGCCTCTTCGGTTCACACTGAAATGATACCAGCATAGGTTTTGTTTCCTTGCAGAGCTTAAATATGAGCGATAACGCCTTGGATGTGCGCAGGTGCTTGTAGGTAATAGGTGAGAGCTATCAAAACCAAAGCTGACAGCACAGCCGAGCAAGTCCCCAGCACATTGACTGCTGGAAACGGTGGGAGGTCACAGCGAACGGCCCTGCTGCGGCATCCTCGGCTCCCGTGTCCCCTCTCTAATCATCTGCTCCAGGTGCCTTTGGCCCGACCCTGTGCGACAGCGCTAATGACTGCCCATACCCGCCAGCACCAGCGGCTGGTGTTATCTGTGGTCCTCACCCCTGTCGGAGGAGTGATGGCTCTGCGAGCAGAGGGACCCGACTCCCCGTCTCCCCTCAGCCCCGATTTACCGGTGCGGAGCTGCAGCGGAAAGGAGGGCTGCGGTGGGCAGAGAAGAGGAGGCAGGTGCGGAGGAGCGCCAGCCAGACACAAAGCAGCAGAAAAAGACCATGAAATAGGAAGATAAAAAAAGATAAAAGAGGTGTTTTGTCCTGCAGAGCGAGCTGCTTTCTTTAGAAAATACCAGGTGAATAGCCTGGCTGTAAGACTGCAGAGCAGGATTGCCGGGAGTCAAGAATTGCTGGAGCAAAATCTGGCACATGCAAAAGGGAATTGGCCTCCGCGAGCTGGGTCAGGCATCTCCTGCCATGTCCATAGATGAGCCCTCCATGTCACATGTAACCCCGGCTCTATCTGCCCACAGCAGAGTGGAAATGGGTTTAACGAAGCATTTCCATAATACCCGCTGAAGGGACTGCTGCATAAAGTGCTGGTTGACAGATGAAGCTTTACTCATTAGAAGTAAAAGGAGGTGAGAAAAGCTCTCCTGGAGCATCTGTTAGAGTGTGCCGGGCCTGTCTCACACACATGGGTCTGCGGCATCCCTGCAGGCACAGTGGTGCTTTGCAGACCAGCAGCAGAGCCGGCTCAGATCACTCAATCTTTTCATTTGATAGCAGCCTGTGAACTAGTCCAAGACTGACAACCACACGCTTACCCCTTGACAGCAGACTTAACAGCAGAATGTGGCCATGCAAACACATTGAAGGCAAGAGCAAACGCATTCCTGACCTACCATGTCACCTTTACCTCTCTCTTCCTCCAGCATAAAAAATAAATCAATCCTCAGTTAATGAACCTATTCTGCACTGTTAGTAAACGGACCCCTTAGAAACACCAGCCACGACCTGCAGAGATGGCCAGTTTCAGCTAAGCGAAAAAACAAGTTTTAGTGTTTTCCAAGCCATCACGCAGCTTTATAAGTCAGTACCTAAACGCCGATTTCTAGACAGCATCCATCCAAGGGACAGTTAATTGCACAAAACTGAGATTTGCAGGAGGCGAGATAAGGAGGATCTGCTGTGTGACTGCACCGTGGCTGAACCCAGGGTGGGCACCTCTCTGCGGAGAAGGGAGGAAGGAGCACCATCAGCCGGGAACATCTCAGGCACTGAGAGGGGGCAGAGGCTTTCTGCGGCGAGGATTTGCCTTGTGCCACTGCAGATGGTGCCGAGGAAGACACACGCAGCCATGCTACAGCTGCACAGACGCTGAAAGTACACGGCCATAAATCAAAGGAGACCAACAGTTAAAAAGAAGAAAAAGAAAGTTGCGCTGAAGGACACAGAGCGATGCATTATGCTTTTTGTGGCCTATTTTAAGGAGGACAGAGCCGGTAGAGTGTCCGGTTGAACTGAAGACACAGGGTTTGCAGACATCTAGAGCTGATCGACTGCTCTTTGTTAAGTTTGATCACTTGGGGTAACTATATAGCACAGGACTTCTGGAGCTGATCAGGACACACTTTCAGACAGACCTACCAGTGAAACAGGGATGTATTTTGCCTGTTTTTAAGCAGTTTCCTTTTCCTGCCCCATAGTCTTATCTGAACAGATTACGTTGCTCTTACATCCTAAAATGCAACTCACGCCATCTTGAGAACTTTCTCTGAGAGCATCTGTTCGGTGAAGCTGTGATAAACTGATGATCCCTTGGCAATTTCTTTTCTGATAAGAGATGTAAATTACTCTCAGCTTCCTTCCTGTACAGAGAATGATGGAGCAGTAACTACTAGGCCAGTTTAATAGAGTTAATCCAGAGATAATTTGTGCTTTCCTTACACAGAAGCAGCTGCTGCCATTTTTTATAGAGTTAAAATTCTCTTCAGTTTTAGTATCTGATTTTGGTCCCCTCTTAGATACCACTTCCAGAGAAATATTTTATGTAGGCAATTCAAAATCTTCACCTTTTATGACAGAATAGCTCTAGGGAGAAAGAGAAATGGTTTGCAGAAAGGCTAGCAAAAAAAATAAGCGACTCCTCATACAAATCACAAGCACTGATTTCCCTCAAAAACAGAAGCTCTTTCCTTCTGAGAAAAGATATGAAAGGCAGCATTAAGGGCTGCATACAAAGAGGTGCAAAAAGACAGACATGCATAATTATTCTTTTACACAATTATGAATGATGCTTCACGTTCTTTGGTATCATCTAGTTTTGTAGATATACACCCCCCCTCCCTCCCCCTTTGCTCTGCAGCACTTGTCACACCAAAGAGAGAAGACAAGATTCTTGCTGAAAATCCCAAATTCAATTAGACGCAACACAAAAGCTTCAGCCAGAACGGAATGTGCTGCCCAGTTTTCTCTCGGTATTTTTCATAGGGAGCACATGACATTGATTTTATACTGTGCCATCTTCCCTGTTTTAGACTACACTGCTTAAAAGCATCAGGAAGATACTTTTCCGCTCAAAGCAAGGGCGATCTTCCCCGTAATAAAGCTATAGCATACACCATGGTGTAGGGGTTGCCACGGTTGCATGTTCAAACCCTGAACCTCACAAACCTTGTGGAACACCAGACGTGAGATGGAAGAAGCTTTGCACCTGCCTTTGTTTTGTGCTGTTTGATAAAGGGCAATCCGTTAGTTCAGAATTTGACCCCGTCTGTGAATAGGGGTGAGAACAGGGATTCACATGAATAGCGTATTTTCTCTACTTACCTCGTAGTAGCTCTGAACAGCGTTTATAAATGCTTCATCTGCCACAATCTGGGTTTCTCCATTGAGAAAGGCCTGGAAACGATCTTTGATTGTCTGGAGCTGCTGCTTACTTATCTGCAAAACATACCAAAAGGAGAAAATTAGTCAAGAAAGGTTATGTATGAAGGAAAAAAACCCAGTAATTCTTCTGCAATATCTTATCGGGGTGCTTATGATGTGCACTTCTGCTTTCCTTTGGGGACAATAGCAATAGACGAGGAATCAGCCACACGTGGGTACACACGCACGCACACTCTTCACCCTGGCAAGTTCATTTAACCATCATGATAGGACGAGGGGAAATGGCTTTAAACTGGAAGAAGGTAGATTTAGATTAGATATTAGGAAGACATTTTTCACTCTGAGGGTGGTGAGACACTGGAACAGGCTGCCCAGAGAAGCTGTGGAGGCCCCATCCCTGGAGGTGTTCCAGGCCAGGCTGGATGGGGCTTTGAGCAACCTGGGCTGGTGGGAGGTGTCCCTGCCCACGGCAGAAGGGTTGGAACGAGATGATCTTCAACGTCCCTTCCAATCTAAACCATCTATGATACTATGATTCTATCATAAGCACCTAAACCCACCCCAAACACCATTTCTAAACAACTCTGCCACCCCAAAACACACGCCAGGCTTGTACCACTTCAGGTATACCTAAGTCAAAAGCAAGCTGCTTTGTGCGTGCTTGGAAAAGACTGTTCCAGTATAATTTCTTCCCCATTTAGCCTCTCCTCCCCTGCAGAAGATGAGGTTTCACCACCGAACGGGAAGCCTTGCGAGCTGGCTGTTGACGACAGCCCCCCTCAGCACTCTGGGGCCTTGGTCTTTCACCCCCAGCTTTTTTTTTTTTTTTCCCCTTGCTCATTTCTTTTGGCTTGTCACACTTAAAACACCAGTCAGAACCAGTGCTGAAAGAATCTAATGCCATTTAATGCCAAAGAAGTTATATGAGGGCAAACGTGTTCTCATCCAAGCAAGGACTTTCTCTGCTATCTCTCTGCTGCTCAGAACAGTTTCTGTCCAGCATACAGCTGGTGTAACATACAAGACAGTTCTAATTTTGGCACAATGACATCAATAGAAAGTTTACAAGGGTTTGTTCCAGCCTTGTAAGATAACATGGCATTATTTTGCCAATTTATCTGTCAGTTTAAAAACAGATATAGCTAAAAAAAAAACACCCCACCTCTTCAGCTTGTAGTACAAAGTCACAGCAGGCACTTAAGCCATGTACCAGCAATGCCAGTACAACATCTTAAGATGCAGATAACGCTCGTGCTGAAGCGCTGCAGGCATTTAACTGTAGTTGGGCCTGGTTTACCATGTGGCTACTTCAGGTTTGAGGATAAGAACTAACTTAGAAGAGGAGGAAGCAAACAAGATGTATATATGACAACTTCAAACTTAAAGGGAAAAGAGAGCAGTAAGAATTAGGACAGCTATTTATTGATGACCAAAAGGTCTAGAGAAGAAGGTGGGGTTTTTTTCTCACTTGTATACCAGCAGAAGAAATCAGCCCATTAGAATGGAAGAGAAAAATAAAACTAATTGCTCTAAGTGTCTAAATGGCTTTGAATAAAGTATCAAAAACTACAGAGATCCCAACAGCTAGAGCATAATGAAGCCTGGTAAACACAGCTAGTGATAAAAAGCAGGAGAGGGACCACTTGGAAAATGCAACAATAAATATCACTAGATCTGGATGATGCGCCATGTGGGGTGTTTAGGGACTGCAGTAACGAACATCATGAATACTGGTAATTAATTCTGCAACACCACGCTGAGGAGGGTTAGTGAGCAATGGTAATTTGATGTGATAATCTGGGATTAGTTTATCCTGGTGCTTATGGAGAGGTGTTCATCAAAGTGACATAAAGCAAGACTCAATATGCTCTGCTTCAGAAAACATGGAATGGCCTTTGCCATCCCTGCGGGTGCTGGAAAGACAGGTCATTCCCCCCCCTAAAAGAGCAGCCCACACTTCACAGGGTCTGACACACACAACAAGGCTCAGCATCACACGGCTGGAGCGAAGACCACCCCTCTAACCTGACCCATCTCTGCCTTGGTCACCATCTACAACAAGCCCTGTGGAAAACCACTGCCGAAAGCTCCTGGCTTTAAGGCTGGCAGGATCTCATTTTTGGCTATAAGAGTCCATCTGCCACGTCAGGCACCTGAAACCCTTTGTGGCGTTTGCCAACAGCACAGTAGACACCACGAGCCTGTGGGCAATACGCACAGCCTCAGACGTAAAGCAGGCTCCAAACCTATCTGAGCTGATGGAAGCTCCCGATGGAATTGAAAAGAAAACTGGGTCAGCAATAAGAGGAGCCAGAGAGTGGGAGACACCTGTGGGAAAGCGCTAGGTCTGTTTTTATTAAGCATTTAATTACCTGCAAGAAGAGAAAAGCAGGAAGTTAATTAAATGTATTGACAATTTTGTATTAGCAACCATTGTGAACATCAGGCAGAAATGACAAGGCAATAAAGGCCTAAGAAATCAAGAAAAGAAACAGGAAAACTACAGGTAACACAGAAATCAGGGTCCTGAGGCACCAAGAAAGACATACTATGAGCACAGATGCTGTCAGCTAAGAGACTTTTCATTTCAGATTTTAACAATGTGCATAGCATTTTTGTTGTTGGGTTCCCCCCTCCCCCCCGGGTTATTTTTTAGGACAACGTCCAGAAGTCCTCGCTTGTTCAATTCCTGTAATGCCATCTAGCAGCAATATTTTCTGCTCTTTCCTCAGCGTTGACTGGGCCACCTTCACAATGAGCAATGCTTCTTGAAATTCCTAGAAACCCCCAACACGCGGCTCACACGCGAGCTCCTGGGCGCTGTGCAAATGAATCATCGGATTTGTCTCTACCGGAGTGTCAGCTGCCTCCTCCTCAACCCCAAGCTCTATGCAAGTGTTTTCCCCATCCAGGGAAGAGGAGATCCTCTCGGACCACACCAGGCTGCAGCACGGCCCCGTCCCCGGCTAACGGGACCCTCGCTCCTCCATCCCCTCCCGACGGTGAAACAGCACTGGTGTATCGATCTGTGTCTGGGCCACTGTTACGGACGCTATCAAGAAAGCGGTCAATCCGAGCTGAAATTAAACTGCTTTCATCTGAAAGTGAACATCTGCAGCACAGCAGCAGGCGCCCGGTGCAGAATGCGAGCACCAGCCGGGAAGCGGAGGGTGGTCAGACCCACAAGTCAATGAAATCTGCCCAACGTGCTCCATCCACCTCCCTTTTTATGGCTCTTCCCCTCCCCGTCAGGTGCTAAGGGCATCGCTGCCGAACCCCCCGGAGCACCCCTGGGGCAGGGGGAGGCAGCACCGCCCCGGCAGAGGTTGGAGCGGGGCAGGGGAGCAGCCTCAGCCCCAACGTCACGCTCCAAAGCCTTTAAGCAGGGCCAGGCGATGGCACCGACCCATCCGCAGGCTTAAAAGAGCACATGCCCTGAATGCTCACCTGGAAGCTTAATTGCTTTAAAGGCAGGGGTGTTATTTCATCTCTCGCTATTAGAGGCACCAGTGATCCGCTGGAAATCCGCACAGAACAACCCAACAGCCTCTGCAGATCTACTAAGGGGCCGACACAAACCATGTCTCACTTAGTCACCTTCCGTCGTGAGCTTACAAACAGCGGAAAACAAGAGAATTACTTCCCCTTCGAAGCACATCAGTACAATATCACAGCCTTCGCACCAGCTCGGGCAGGAGGTAAGGCTCTGTTGGGCTGCGAGCCCGGCGGCGGCAGAGCCGGCCGGACCCCGATGCCGGCACCCCACAAAGCCGGGTGCTGGCACACAGGAGAGAAATCGAGAGCCGGGAGTAAGCAGGAGCACTGTGGTGGATGGAAGAGGTTTGTTCTATTTACCTTCCCTCGCTTTTCCAACCCTCACTGCTTTCCCCCACAACCGCTTCCAGCATGTGACGGCTGTTAAAGAAGTAACAGTCATTTCTGCACTCGACGGCGACTGTGAACACCCCACTGGCACACAGTGACTCTGGACCCAGGCGAACTCCCCCAGGTTAATATTGCGGTGTGTATATGCGGCAGAGTGTTTCACAGCCTTTATCTCCCTCAAGCATGTGAGTACTTAAGTTGCCAGATATACACACGCATATTAAAAATGTAATTAATTGAGTCGGCGATGATGAACTCCCGGCACGAGTGTCAGGCAGGGCACCCATCGAGCTTTGGGCTGGCATTCCTTGTGGATTGCACGGCTTTTTAGAAGAAGCTTGGCAGAAGCGTTCTCCGTAACAGACTAAATTATGGGAAAGAGCTCACCAGTGACAACATCTGGGCACCCAAATGCTTTCTACCTTCTTGGTCTAACTTTAGGTTTCTTTTAATCAAAGAAACTGCATGCACAGCACAATTTGGTGACCTCAGAAATGGGGTGGAAGAATCTCTGACATGTACCACATCCCCACCACGGTCATAAGTAAATCACAGTGGCAATTTCTTGCATTTGCTTGACGCAGCCCTCCGCAAACGGCACACCAGCCTCCACGGGAGAGGCGCTCACCAGCGGCCTTCTTGCTACGTGTTATTGTTGCACATATTCCATCTGACTCAGAGCCAAACGCAAACCTGAACGCATGGAGCCATGGCACCTTCTCCAGAGTTGTTCCAGCCAGAGAACAGCTGGCACCATCTCTGTGCATCACCTCCAGCCTCCTTCGCCCACACAGCGGGAGCAGAAGCGTTGCAAAGAGGAGCTGTTTGCCGCAGAAAAGTTCCCCGAAAAAAGTTATACACGGCAACATGCCTCACTAATCCATCCTCTCTCCAAAATGCTTTGCTGTGTCTGAGCACACGGAAACAAACACGGCCATACAGCTCACTGCTTAAGGTCTACATCGCACAATAACACAACGTTAGCTGGACTGGGGTTTTGTACACCACACCGTATCACAGATGAGCTCAAAGCAGTCTTAGATTTACATGCTTTGAACTTTGAAGAACTAGAACAACTTCTGCAGATTTTCACTCTTCTAAAGTGAACTTTCAAATCTGCATGTGTGAAGAAAACAAGATGACTCTCACTCACACAGGACAGTTGTCTT